CCCCCCCCCCCCGTTTTAAACGTTGTTTGGCTGAGCGGGGAAAGACAGGTTAATGCCTAAATGGCATATCTTAGTATCTTGCTATTGTTAGCGCTCTTATTACTATTACAATTAGTAAATCATACATCTGTAAAGAATAGAAAATCTTTCATCTGAACCTGTTGGAAACGGTAGGGTGAAAAATCTAATTTGGCATTTCATCCTTCACTCACCCCTTTTGTGCCTAGCACATAGCAGCACATTCAAAATTTCAGTTCCTTAGTTATTAGATACAGTGGAATGAATTGCATATGCTGAGAATTTTGTGCCTCTGCTATCTTTCTTTTTGTATATTTGATAGCCCGTCACATGAAGTGATGATGCATAAGTTTGGTAGGAATTTAATTGGCTTTTTGCTATTAGTGGTCTCAGTGGTATGTGTCTGTAGTATACCTCATATCTAACTTGCAAGTATATCCTGAATACTTTAATGCAAGATAAAAGTCACAGTTACAAAAAACTCTGCAACTCCATCTGATGATGCTTTTGAGACTCCTAGCTTTATTGGTTATTTTATCCTGGGTAGTACTTTTCAACCAAATTCTAAACTACCTCTAAGATTCAAATTAGACTAAATAAAAATAGGTTTTGAAATGTTAAAGAGCAGAAAAAACATCCAAAACACCACGGTGGTTCAATTTCTTATTCATTTTCATGCCTGTCAAAGTAAGTTTTTAATAAATGTAATTAAAAGAATAGGTTGGTCCTATATGGAAATCTGCCAAATTCCATCAGGAGAATCTTTTCAGAAGTATGCATCACTATGGAATTATACTAGTGTTTTTGATGATTATGTAAATAATATAATGGTGCTATATGGAAAGTTTTTAGAAATAAGGTGCTGATTTGTGGAAGTCTTGTAATATTACTGTGACAATTACTGTAAATAAACCATAAAATTTTAGAACATTTTTTAAGTTTTTTAATGTAAAGAATTTGAAAGTCTGTTTTACTTTAGAATCTTTAATAACTAAAAATGTGTGTTTAGGGTAAACAGGCCAGAAGCTCTTAGATATTTTATTCTTTTTGTGATAACTCTATAGTTTTTACCTGCCAAAAACACTTGATTCCTTAAAAGGATAGATACCTTAACTAATGTCTTTAACTGGCTCCTGAAAATACAGATGTTAGGTGAAACATGTTTTATGTGATAGTTGGTAAATTTTCAAGGGCAATGTCATAAGTGTTCCAACTAGGTGATCAACTAAATTATTTATATTTGGTTTTGTACTGTTAATATGGGTTTTGGTATAATGAATTAAGCATGTTATTGTAAAATAACATTAACTCTGGCAACCTTATGAATTGTGCCTGTACTGTCTTTTATGATGCTTATATGCCTGAAATAAATAACCATTGTCTTTTCCCTCAGGTTGTTGATAGAAAATTGCATATTTTTACCTTTAAAATTTTGTTACCTTTAAGAAGTTTAATTTATGCCAATAAAATGAGCAAATGAGTTTTGTGAGTTTTTTTTCCTGTTTTGAACCTAATGAAAGATGTGTTGTGAGATTCAGTGCTTCTGTTCTCAACTTCTTATATGACGCTGAGAAGTATAGTTATCTAATAAGATGATAGAATAATGCTTTTAGATAGAATAAATCTAACAATTTATCTTCAACTAGCTGAATGAGCTGTAGATCAAATGGAAGAAGATACTATTATTCAGGGGTCCTCAATTTTGTTTTGAACTGCAACTTTTCTATGGAGAATACATTTTGGGGAAATGCGGTTATGACTTGTCTGAATATATTGCTACATCTGGAAATTGTCAATTACTACAAGAACTTATACCTGCAAGCTCATCTTTGATATCTGACATTTTATATTTTTGGTATGACTTCTAAATTTACTATCACTCAGTAAAGTGATATAATTAGTTTTAATTGTATAAATTAAATTTCCTTTTAGTGTCCAAAGTATTGATATTACTTTGTTATTACTAAGAGTGATAAAAAGAGCTCACCAGAACTACATACATAATTTGCGTACGGATTTGTTTGAATATAAAAACTAGTACTTTACTTACTTTTCCATTCACAAGAGAAACTTATTCATAATGAGCAAGCTAAATAAAATATGAATATATAGTAGACAAAGAAATGAATGTAAACTCAGTTAGTTATACTGTAACCTTCATGACATGCTTAATAGGATACAGTTCTTTTAAGAGAAATAATTTTTTAAAACAATCAAAATTGAGGGGCACATGACCATTCTTCATTTATAAAGTCATTTATACTAATGAAATCTCAGTTGATTACTAGGTACCTACAAATTATAAAATTCAAAAAGTATATTTTAAGAAAGAGGAAAGTTACAGTGACAAATGGCTAATGGTAATTTGTATCAGAAGTGTTAGACATTAGAATTTATTGCAATATGCCTCAGATGGTGTTTTTAAACATAGATTTAAACATTTTATTATTTTACATACATGGAAAATGTGTTAATCATTTACTCTTTGAATATACACCAATTTGACTGGCTAAACTCTTCACTTAGAAAGATACTCTCTTTCCTAAAGGAGTTTTAAAAATTTCTCAAAATGAAAAACTTTAAAAAAAATTACACAGGTAACCATGAAAGCTGTTTCAGTGTTATGTCCTGCAATTGGATTTCTTATGGCCTTGTTTATTTGCAGAACACAAAGTGTAGGTCACTTATTTTTCAGATGATAGATAATATCTTTGGCATGACATTGTTTCCTATAGCAAAGATCTGTTCTTTCATTTTATCTCCTATGCAATTGTTCAGGTATGTGCTGGCCTCCCACAAACTTAGACCTGATGTGCTCAGATGAAAAATAATGTTTATTATCCAGAAAGATTTGATGGAGAATTATAAATGATCTTTTTAGAGTTTGTGATTTGTCATTTTATTTTTTGCATCTGAGAAATATGCACTTTCTGATACTCAGTCTATTAGAGATTATAGGGAGGAAAATATACTACAACAGTATCTGTATGGATTACTAGTAGCAACTGAAAAGATTGAAAGTCAAGATACTCTGAGTTCTAACTCCAGATCTACTTCCAAATGACCTTGAGTATGGCTCTATTCCCATTTGAAAATGGGGAAGGGAATAATGCTTCCCTCAATGATAAAGAAAGATATGATGTACTTAGTATTTACTAAAAGCATTTGAAAGAGGCACAATGCTAGATAAATATGATTATTGGCATCTATAAATAGGTTTTTGGTTTTCACTTTTATTAGTTTCCATATTATCTGTTAGAAATTTTTTTACAGAGTCAGAGGGTTTAAATAGTGTCAGAGGCTGGATTTGAACTTAGGGCTTTCTGACGCCAGGTTCAGTGCTGTGAACTAGTGTCCACTGTGCCATGAGCTGCCTCACCCCAGCTGCCTGGATTGGGACAGTTTGTGCAAAGGCGTGGAGATAGGAAGGGGCTGAAAAGAAGAAGTGCAATAAATTAGGAAAGTGAGGACCAGAGAGGTTAAGCAATTCAGTCTCACATGATTATGATAAGTGGTAGGCAGAATTTGAACCCTGATCCACTGACTCTAAATTCATCACTCTTTCCACTGCATCACATTATACTAGCAAGCACAGTGAGTTTTGATTATGTAAAGGCTTATAAAGCTTTTGCTTGTATTTACATTGTAAGTATGGAGTGCTCAAATGATCCGACAGTACAGCAATAAATCTAAAGTTCACAAAAGTGGAAAATTAATCATATTCAACTTGAAGTGGACAAATAATACTTGTGTGACTCTCCAATTCACTTAATTTTTCTGACTCTAAAGTTCTAAAACTTCTTGAATGCAACAAAACAAGTAAGGAAGGAAACAAGCATTTATTAAGCACCCACTATATGCCAGGTATTGTGTCAAGAGCTTTACAAATATTACCTTATTTGAACCTCACAACAACCCTGGGAAGTAGCTGAAGAAACTAAGGCAGACAGAGTTTAAGTGATTCGCCCAGTGATTTTTGAACTAGTGAGTATCTGAAGCCAAATTTGAGCTCAAGTCTTTCTGACTCTGGGCCCTTCTGACTCTAGAACTCAATCTAGAACACTGGGCCACCTAGAAAACATGCACAGCTTAGAAAGTATGACTCTAATCACTCTGAAGTTTATTTATTACAACTTGTAAGGCTTTAATGTTCTGTCTTATTTTACAAACTACTTTTTGTCTTCTGGTGTGCAGTAGGTAGTCAAGGGGCTTTGAAAAGGTCAAAAGGGAGGAGATTATAGTTAAAACATTATTGTGATCCTTCATCTTCTGTCCCTATCCTTTTTCAGTGTGAAAATGAAAATGTAGCTTATAATGGGAACCAGTCAGAAAGAAGAGAAATAAAGAGTAGGGACCTAGGTAGAAACTAATACATAAATATTTAATATGTATAATTAGTACATATATATATATATGAAGAAAAAGTAGTAGTTGCATAAACTCTGCTCTCTGCTTCAGAACCTCAAGGTTCTGAAGCAGAGAGCAGAGTTTATACAGTTACCATTTTTTCTTAAGTCATTGAACCATCAACAAGCCAAAATTCGTTATTTCTGATATCAGATTTCTTTCAAATTTCTGAATTTACATGTTATCCAAATCCAAATTGATATATATACTCTTTACATTATTGTAGTATTATGTATAACTTTCATTGTTTCATTTTTCCTTTTAACATGTTTTGTATAATTACCTACATATTTGAAAGTGTTTGAAAATCTAATTTGTTCAAATTACTCAGTTCTACTCACTCAGTTCCCCCTCCATTTCCAGTTCTCTCTACTTTCTTTGAGTTTATGTTTCCTGTTGCAGCATCTCCCACGTTCTCTGAATCCTCTTTGTGTTTTGCCTTCTGGACTCCCACCTCAACACACCTGTTTCCTAAATCTGTTTTATGT